GCAAAGAAGATCTTTATTGATGAAAGCATGCGAAAGATACAAAACATCAATAAAGAGGAGCAAGCTCCAGTTGGTGAGAAACCAACAAAGAAACAAGAAGAAAAACAGAACAGATCAGCAGCCAAGAATCCAGACCAACACAGCCCAAACTCAGCGGATCAGACCAAACTAGACCTTACAAGGCAGACTTGAGCCTAAACCAGATAGCAGACCAACAGATCAGACCACCCAAAGTGCAGACCAACATCCAGCAACTGAAGATTAGAGTCTAAACCTGAGAGCAGACCAACAAATCTGATTCAGAACAGAACTGAAACCGTCCAACACAGAACAACAGAAGACAGCAAACTTCTAGCATAGAATCTGCCTAACATGCTGCAAATTAAACACCAGCTCCTGAACTGAGTAGAAACTATCTCTTGACTCAGCTTTAAACCATAAGATGACTCTTGTCTTAATCAGTTCCACCAACTCCACCATCAAAGGTTGTTTCCCATTAAACACACACTCATTCCTCATCTTCCAAACAGACCATAGAGTGGCCAATGGGATGACCTTCAGTAAGTCTCTAGGTTCGTGGACCCGAACCCTTTCGAGGCTTAGAGTGATTCAATCCGTTTGATGGCGATAAATCTGGGCCCACCGATTCTTGGACTTGCGATAAATTCGGGCCCACTAATCTTGGGCTATTGGGCCTAAATAATTTAGTGGGCTCAAATTAGCCCCTCTTACATTTGCCCCTTGCGTGTATGAGAAATTTTAAATTTCTCAGACATGCATACTGTCATTTCTTCGACCCTGCTTCGCATCACGTGTTCAGGAATATTTGGTCCTTTTGGATAATATTGATGACTCACGACAACTTATGGATAATATTGACAATTAATAAAGATAATAAAGAATCTTTTTTTTTTTTTTGTCTTTACGCCATGCTTGGCAAACATATTTTTGCACCTTGATTTTTTTATTTTTATTTTTTTATTTTTTATTTTTTTTTACACAATATATAAGCATATTGCTT